GTTTCCTTCTGCCCCCGCATACCTGCTTCCTGCTCCCCTTGAGATCTGACTCCCTGGCAGAGAACTCGGTCTCTCTTTTTTTAAAATGTTAAATATCATTTACAGAATCATTTTTTAGAAAGATTTATTTATTTGAGAGAGCGAGCGAGAGAGAGCGCATGAGCAAGGGGAGGGGCAGAGGGAGAAGGACAAGCTGACTCTCTGCTGAGCAGGGAGCCCGACGCGGGGCTCGATCCCAGGACCCCGGGACCATGACCTGAGCCGAAGGCAGCCGCTTAACGACTGAGCCACCCAGGCGCCCCTCTGTCTCTTTGTGATAGGCGAAAAAACTCAGTGCTTTGCTTTCTAAACTATGCAAACCACACTGACAGTTTTACCCACCTCCCCACCCCTGAGAACCCCTGCCGTAGTTTTCCACTTTCCATGTGCTCCAGAGTGTGTTCTGGGACAGCCAGTGGTGCCCAGGATGCTGTGTGCTCCTGCCTCGTTTACCCACAGCATTTTCCACGGGCAGGGCAGTGAATGTGTGGGAAAGGGACATGGTGTGGCCTGGCCTGTCCCCTGACCCCATGGCTTCTTCCCTAGGAGGCTGTGAAGCCAGTGCTGTCGCACTCACCCCGTCCCCCAGACCCCCCTCAGGTCCTGTTCTCCTGTGCTGACGCCGGGCTCCGCCTCCTCGCCCCACTGATGCCCTTCCTGGCTGAGGAGTTGTGGCAGAGGCTGCCGCCCAGGCCTGGTGGCAACTCTGCCCCTAGCATCTCTGTTGCTCCCTACCCCACTGCCCGCAGCCTGGTGAGTCACGTGCCCCTGACGTCTGGGGATGGGACCACTGGTGAAGGGCTGGGGAGCAGTCTTCTCGAAGGGTTTGGTGCTGTGGGGTCACGGAGAGTCTTGGTTTGTACTTTAGTGTAGGGTCTTTAGGAGGATGAGTTGTTCTTGCAGGGCTGTGTTGGGGGCAGTCTTAGCCCCGTGGGCAAGAGCAGGACTACATTGCTATGTGACCGTGCCTCAGTTCCCCATCTTTAACCAGGGGTAGTAATAGTTTGTGTCATGGTTGTGGTGAGGATTAGATGTTAGTACTAGGAGGGCTCCCAAATACCTGCAGTTTTAAGCTTTAATAACTTCAGAAGGATAAGTGCTATAAACTCACCCCCAAAATCATTTTAAAGTTTAACTATTTAAATTTTTTTCTGCTTGCTTGGTCTTGTGAGTACTTTTGGTTGTTCGCCGTCTTTGATCAGAGCAGTTAACGGACATCAATCACAGATGTCAGCCGAGACCTGCTTAGATGGTGCCCCAGGTTTTGCTTGAGGTGGTGAATTTTGTGTGTGGTGCAGAGGCCGGATTCTGTTGCCCTAAGCAGGTTGGGGTGGCGGGTGTGGGACGGAACCAGGAGAGCTGATGCCGAGGCCCCCGGGAGCCTGCTTGTCAGCTCTGGGTCTTCCTCTCCAGGGGCACTGGCACCAGCCCGAGCTGGAGCAGCGCTTCTCCCGGGTCCAGGAGGCTGTGCAGGCACTGAGGGCTCTCCGAGCCACATACCAGCTCACCAAGGCCCGGCCCCGAGGTGAGATGGGCGCTGGGTTCCTGAGTCCCTGCAGAAAGGAGGGGCTGGTGGAGGAGCGGGGTGAGCCTGGAGGGCAGAGTCCAGAGTTAGGAGGTGCAGGATGGGAGCAGAAGCAGGATCTCATGCTTTGACCCTGAACAGTTTCCCTTTCCTCCTCAGTGCTGCTGCAGAGCTCAGAGCCTGGAGAGCAGGGCGTCTTCGAGGCCTTCCTGGAGCCCCTGGGCACCCTGGGCCACTGTGGGGCCGTGGGCCTCTTACCCCCAGGTGTAGCGGCGCCCTCCGGCTGGGCCCAGGCCCCGCTCAGTGACACCGCCCAGATGTACATGGAGCTGCAGGTGCCCAGAGGCGATTGGAGGGGGAGGGAGGGATCGAAAGGATGTTGGGAGGAGGGCAAGGTGCGGGTTCTGTAAAAGTGAGGCGGGCTCCTGAGAACGGGGCAGAGAGAGGCATTGGACAGGCTGCCCATGAAGCAGAGCTGCAGGGGGTGCAGAGAAGGCTGAGCCCTCCCTGTTCTACCGCAGGGCCTGGTGGACCCCCAGACCCATCTGTCTCTGCTGGCTGCCCGAAGACACAAGTTGCAAAAGCAGCTTGATGGCCTCATGGCCTGGACCCCATCAGAGGGAGAGGCAGAGACTAAGAGGCAGCAGAGGGTGAGGCTGGAGGCCTGACTCCCTGCAGGAACGTGGGCTGGAGGGCATGGGCCTTCTATCGGGATCCTTGCCTCCTTCTCTTCTCGTTTAGCTTTCTTCCCTCCAGTTGGAATTGTCGAAGCTGGACAAGGCGGCCTCTCACCTCCGGCAGCTGATGGATGCATGTCCCAGCGCCGGGGAGCTCTGAGCACCAGCTCACTATCCCTGGCGGTTTTTTCCTCCCCCAGACCTGCCTTCGAGGACAAACAGATCTGGCAGCTGTCGGGGCATGATGGGGCCTCTGAGACCATGTGGCTCACCTCCCTCATTTCATAAATGAGGAAGCAGACTGGCTTGGTCGGTGTCACTGGGTGTCCTCAAGATGCTTACGTTCCTGCCCAGCCTCCCTCCTATGCAGTCCCACCTGGAAGTTTAGGAATGAGATAAACCTTTAAAATCTCAAACATTACTGCCTGTGGTCCTTTTATCTCTCTTTCCCCTAGTGGTGGACTTTCTTGCCTCTCAGTGGTTCCCTGAGACTTTGGTCTAGGAAAGGAGGGGGGCTGCCTCTTGGCCTTGGGCTCTGGGCTGCAGTGGAACGTGCGTGCTGGTGGTGCCCGCCTTGTTGGAAGAGAGAGGAGCTTCCTAGGAGGGTCTGGGCACAGTGACTCGGTTCCACCTACTTCTTAGAATTATTGCCAGTGCCTTGGCTTCTGCGGGCCCTTCCCCCTCACCAAATGGAAGCTCCCCTGTTCCTTGGCCTTATCTTGGGGGGTGCTGGAGAGGAGCAGGTACTTCCTGTGGGCCTACAGGGCTGCAGAGTGCACTGGGGCTGGAGTGCTGCTCCCATTCCGTGTCCCTGACACCAGTTGCCAGGGACATGTTGCCCAGCCTCTGACACATGTACGTCCCCACTGATGCAGACATCCACCCACCCACCCTGAACGTCTTGAGTCCTCCCCGTGGAATTCAGGGGCCTGCCTCTTACATGCCCAAGTTATAGTCTGTCCGGCAGCTCTGAGTGGCTACTATTTATGGTGGGTCTTTCAGGGTCTGGGGCTTCTGTGATGCCATTGAGAACCTCATGGTGGATGTTTGCTCCATTTTGGAAATCAAGAAATGTGCTCCGAGAATAAAAGCAACCTGTCCCAAGTATCAACTAGGATTCAACCCGGTAAACAGGTGCAGTTCATTTTGGCCGCTATAAGCAAGCTTCAAATAAAATGGTGGCTTAGGCAAGGTGGAAGTTTCTTCTGCTGGGCAGAGGTAGGGCAGGGCAGGGCTCTGCAGAAATGGGAGGCCCACACCCCACTGAATCTTACTTCCTGCCATTCTGATGCACTCCATCCAATTCGGGGTCTAAGATCTGTCCCAGCTCCCCACCCCCGTTCAAGTACTTCTTGAGTACTTACTTACTACTGTGTGCTGGGCCCTATTCTGGACCCTTAGATTCATCAATGAATGATGTCACACAATGAATGTCACTGGCCCACTGGTGCAGGCTAGGATCAAGTCATGAAACACTGGGACCCTTTGCGGCTCCCAGCTACTTCTAGCCTGCTGGTCCCAGGACAATTGTAAAAAACTAGAGGAATTTTGTTTCACAGGTTTTTCTTTTCACTCCGCCATTTTCTATTCTCCCCTCATCTTCAGGGATAGTCTCTACAGAGCCATGCCTTCACCTCCCTCCAAAGGAGTCAGCATCTAATTTCACATGGTGTGTAGGTGGGAAGTATGATAGGCAGGGGCGAGGGCTGTGGAGAATAGGAAATGATCACATTAATACACCCAAATGGTCAAGTTTGGGCTGCACGCTTGCATTTTGAGAGAGGTGGTAAGAAGTCAAGATAATCTTGGGTGAGGATTCAGATGAGTGCCTGCCTCACGAATATCCGGAAGAGGACCCTGGACCCCTGAGGGGACTAGGACTTACATGTTGGGACCGGGGTTCCACCTTAACCACTCCTACTGCCCATTCCCACTTATCTGGCATGTGCCCTTGGTAGCTGGTCCATGTAATCCTCACGGGGGTCCAAGCGGCAGGTACCAGCAATCATCCCCATGTTGCAGGTGAAGAAGATAAGAAATTTACCTAGGACTCAAGTCCTGTGGGACTGAATGTCCTCATAGCCAGCCAGTACAGCTCTGCTCCCCGGCTCCTCCCCACCACTCACACCGGGCTGGCCATCACTTTACAGGTGGAACCTCTCATCTCCCACGTGGGCTGCCTCCCCCCACGCCCACCTCCTACCCTAACTGACCTGTGTGGGGCCTGTTCTGTCCACATTCCTCTTTGGGCTCCTGAGCTCCCAGCCCCAAGGCTGAAGCAAAGAGAGATGAAATGAAAATCCTGCTCAAGCCGAGGCATTTGTCTGGTGTTGGACCTGTCTGCTGCAAATGGCCCTCAAATGAGTGACTCACCCTCAGCAAGCCTCAGTCTTCATCTCTAAAATTGGATAATGACACCTATTATGCTATATTCAAGATCACTGCAAGCATCAAAATGGGAAAGCATCGAGCCTGGAACAAAGTAAGAATTCAGTACAGGCTTGTTTGCTTTATTCCTGGGTGTTAACGAAGATCTCAGCTTGAAGTGTATGTTCACGCACATGCGTATGTGGGTGTGGTGCGTGTGTCCCCAAACAGTTAATTCCCCAGATTCTTTCTAGGCCTTTCACACTGGTGTTGAGGGAGAGGGTGTCTGTCCCGGAACCCCTCTGCTTAATAAAGGGGAGAGTCAGAGACTTCGGTGTCCAATTGTGTTTTCCTGCTGGCCCTTTGCTCATGAACCCACAGAGGCAAGTCACTGAATTCAGCACATTTACTCATCAGGGTTAGGGCATCCCTCCTGTACCTCGGTGGCCAAATGCCTGGGCCAAGGGGGGGACACAGAGTTTGACCATTCTCAGACTTCGCAGGTGACATGGCGTGGGGATCCTGCATGATGGAGGGTGACGTTGGTCCCTGACGGGAGGTGAAGGAGGAGGCAGAGCTGGGGGACAGAAAGGGTTAGAGGGAAAGGTGTAAGATGGTTCTCACTCATCCCTTGGAGATGGCCAGGCCCCAGCAGAGAGGCCCACACCGAGTCAGAAACACACTTCGAGGTCACACAGCCTTGTCTTTCCCTTCCCAAAGAACTACCTTCTCAAGCAATTCCAGGAAGCTGGACTCATAGGAGAAATTTGTTAGAAAGGAGTCCTTCAGCTTCAGCTGCAAAGTCAATCCTGGCCCTAGGGATCCAAAAACAGAGCTTAGGGCCATATTCCCTCAGAGACACGAGTACCCCATCCCCTGCTCCCCTCCCCCATTCCTCTTCCCTGATAATGCCCTTCCAGACCCTACCGATGCAGGGGTTCAGCCCCAGGCTGAGAGCTCGGGACTGGGTGCTCTGTCCCTCTCACTCCCCTCTTTGGCCTCTCCCTGCCATGAGCACCCAGGCATCAAGCCCTCCGGCCCTCACCTGTTCCCTGTGAGCTGCCCAGGAGAGTCAGGAAGAGGAAGAAGGGCATCCTGGCCCCCATTGTGGCCACCTTGCTTCTTGCTTCTTGCTTCTCTGATGGACAGAAGAGATGTCTGAAGCTCTGGCTGGCTCTCCTTACCAGGCCTGCCTTTCTGCACTCCACTCAATCCTTAAGCCCAGGCGTTTGGGGGGAAATGGGAGAGGGAAGCTGGGTAACTGGATTTTCCAGTTTTCCCATTAAGGCTTTGAGGACCCAGGAGAGGGCCATTCACTGGGCTGTTGGGGAAAATAGAAGGTGGTTCCCTTTCCTCCATCCTGTGCCCCCCTCCCCTATATCTGGAGACTTGAGGGGGAGGGTGCCCAGTCCTACAGGGAGGGAAGTTAAGGAGGTGTCCCTCCTATAGGTGTCCGGGCCCCACCCAAAGCCGGGCCTCTCCTTGCTCTTTAGGGATTAATTATTAACTGCAATTACTTTCCATCTTTCACACCACCAAAGTGTTCAGGAATGTGAGCCCCAAAGGGAGGGGTAGATTACACCAAGTTTCTTCCCAAACCCAGGTGTCCTGCTCCCCCAGGCACAGTGGTTTTCTAGGTGAGAAATCTGTGTAAGGGGGAACTTTCATCTTTGAATGTTGTGTTTTACTTGTTCTAAAACATCCTATCTATTCAGGTGGAGACGCAAGTTTTATCAGATATCCTCCCAACCCTTGCCTTATGCACACTCATCCTCCCAATCAACAGCTGTATACACAGGCACTCCGAGTGACGAAAACAAGGATATGGAGAGAGAGTTTGGAGCCCATCTAGTTTACCCTCTTTCATTACAAATTAGGAAACCAAAGCCCAGAGAGGCCATATGACTCACTAAGGTCACACAGCAAGCAGGTCAGTAGCAGAGAGATTAGAACCCATCCCTCATTATGCCAGACACAGGCACAAGCTCAACAGATTGACACACTAGTCACATAAACCCCCCAGAACACACAAAAACACATGCCCTTCGTCTTCCTACTTGCATGACTGTGTATTATCACCCTCCTCCCTTGAAAACCAGTGGGCCCAAGCACAGAGGGTTGGAAGCAGTGAGACCACTGGGCAGACTCAAGGAGAGAAGCCAAAAGCAAAAACAAGCAAATGGAGAGATGGAGGGAGACACTGCTTACACCATAAAAATAAATAAAGTGAGGCATTCAAGGACTCGCAGACTTGCACAAGAGAGCAGGCAAACAAGAATGGAAAGAATATATGGACAGAAAGATCAGCAGGCAGAGGAGGTATGAGCCGGGGGTAGAAAGCAGGAGCACAGACAGATGCTTTGGGGCATGTGAGTCTTCTTAAGAGGAGAGTGGCGGCACCCTTATGTCTTTCCCAGCTGGTGCCCCCAACTCTTTCTATATAGTCATGGCTGACACTGCTGTTTGCTAGGAACATTCGAACCATTATTTCCTTTAATTCTTGTAATGACCCTTTGCAGTAAGTACTAGATCACCCCATTTTAGGGGTGAAGAAATGAAGACTTAGGTCACATGACTTGCCTGAGATTGCATAGGTTGGGAGTAGCGGATTCAGTGCCGTTTGTCTTCAGAGCTAGGTTCTGAACTTCTGCATTGCACTGTTCTGGACCATGATTCATGTCTTCCCTGATGCTCCTCTTCTCCCCTTGCCCCTTCTCTGCCAAAGGAATGGAAAGCTTTGTGGGCCACAGCCAGCTAGGTGAGAGACGGCTCAGGTGTTTACCCCACCCTGAGGTCTCCCGAAGGTCAGATGCAGGCCCCAGGCCTTGACATTCTCCACCTCCATCCAGCTCCCAAATTCTGCTTCCTCAAGGGACCCGTGTATCCTCACCCCCAATGGTTGTACTTCTAGGAGCAAGAGCACTCTGGGAGAGGACACCCTTCCTTTGAGGAAAGTCTGGGCTGGAGATTGACTTGGGCATGGGAGATTGGTCCCAAGTCTGGGAAGAGCCTGAGGGCCAGGTAGGGAAGTCCTCAGCCTCTCTCACTCACTCTCCCCCTCACCCAATGTTTCGTGGGATCAGGCTGGGAGAGGTTAATCCCTCGGGGACATCTTGGTGACCTCTCCCTGGGGATGGAGATCCTGGGGTTGATGGAAGCCTGGACACACCTGGCTCTCCTGAGACTTGTAATCAGCCTGAGAGCCTTTAAAGAGCCAGGGAGATGGATCTGGAAAGGCACCATGGATGCTGCCCTGGTGCTGTTTCTGGGCCTGCAGGAACACCAACCTCTGAAAAGGGGTGTTGGGGTGAAGATGTGGGCTCTGGACCCAGGGACACGGCCAACTCTTCTAACCCCATCACTTCATTTTTCTTCTTCTTCCAACAGCTCAGCTGAACTCATCGGGAAACAGTATCTGGATGCATCCTGACTACCTCTGAGAGTCCCTCAAGTTCTCAAGATACCTCTGCCAATCTCCTAACTATTTCTGAGGAGATCTCTGCTGGTCTCCTCACTGTCTCTGCTGGTCTCACCACCATCTCTGGGAAGATCTCTGCCAGTCTCCCCACTGTCTCTGCCTGTCTCCCCACTGTCTCTGCCACTGTCTCTGTCTCCCTGTCATCTCTGCTGGTCTCCCCACTGTCTCTGCCAGTCTCCCCACTCTCTCTGGCGGTCTCCCTAACATCTCTGCTGGTCTCCCCTCTGTCTCTGCTGGTTTCCCCACCATCTCAGAGGAGATCTCTGCCAGTCTCCCCACTTTGTCTACCAGTCTCCCCACCATCTCTGCCATCTCCCCACCATCTCTGAGGAGGTCTCTGCCAGTTTCCCCACTCTCTCTGCCAGTCTCCCCACCATCTCTGCCGGTCTCCCCACCATCTCTGGGGAGATCTCTGACAGTCTCTGCACCGTCTTTGTGAGTTTCTCAACAGGTTCTTCAACTTCTGGGGGTTTTCCCAGTAGTCCTCAGACTTCAGCTACCACCATTTCTGGGAGCACTACAGTAACAGTCTTGGTGTCGCCAGGTGATATTTCTGTTGCTCAATCAATCTCTGAAGGGCTCTTTAGCTTGGCCTGTGGCTCAGGGCGGGGGCTTCCTGTGCTTGGCCACGGGTAGGTTGACAGTTCCCCAGAAGCTCACTGAAGCAGTGCCCCGGCCTTGGTGGCTATACAAAGGACCCCCTTCTGCTTTTCAATTCACAAAGTTTTTCTCTTGTAGTTAGTGCCTTTTGTATCCTGCCTAAGACTTTTTTTTGCCTACATCAAAGTCAAAAAAATATTCTCCTATATATTCTTCTGGAAACTTTTTATTTAGGCTCTGACATTTAAGCCTATGATCTATCTTCGATTACTTTCTGTGTATGGGGTGAGGTAGAGGTCGGTTCATTTTCTCCCCTTATGGATAACCAATTGTCCCAGAACTATTTATTTCAAAGACCCTCCCTCTCTGCCCACCATTGAATTGTGTGAGTACCTTTATCCAAAGTCAAGTGAGCATATATGTGGGGGTCTATTTCTGGACTCTATTCTGTTCTTCTGTGTCTATTCTTATGTCAGTGCCATAGTACTTAATGACTGCAGTTTTGTACCAAAGTTTCAAGATCTGGTAGGATAAGTCTTCTACTTCTCTTTTGCTTTAAGATTTCTTGGCCATTCACAGTCTTCATTTTCATAGAGTCAGTTCATTAACTTATACCAACAACTTGCTGGGATTTTGACTGAGGGTGCACTGGATGTAATTTCTGCTTCTGCTCTCACTTTGATCTCTCCTGGCCATTTTCTGTCTCTGCCCTTCTAGGATCTGTCTCCCTCACAGCAGCCCCAGGAACTGCTCCCACTGTGCCTGGCCTTCCACACCCGGCATGGCTGTCTCAGGAGTTTCCACTCCCATAATGGCTAGAGCGGCCACCACATGCCCTGAGCTCAGCCTCCACACCAGTAAGGTGCTCTTATTTGCACTGGGCCATTTAACAGTAAAGATGTTGGTTGGACCCATTCTCTCTTATTCTTCTGCAGCCAGCCCTCACTCTTGGAGGGGAGCGTAGGAACAGGCATTTAGTGCCTGCTTTCAGCTGTGTTTTGAGTATGTCTGAGGATGTCCACAATTCTTAAAGGGGTTTTGGTGCTTCTGGTCACACCAACAGCCAGATATCTGTTACCTGACTGCTTCCTTAAAAAGTTTACAACTTCCTTCCTCATGGCCTGATCTGTCTTTCTGGTGCAAGAAGCATACCCTCCAAGGATCCTATTCCCCCTCCTCCCTCTGTTTCCTCCTCTTCTGCCCTCCATTCCCAGCAGGGGAGGCGTGGGCAGCCTCCCCACCCCCCCCCACCCCCGGTAGCTGAGGACAGGAAATGAGGGGAGGGAAGACAGAACAACAGGCTCTAGCTCCCCTTGATAACTAGCATCAGGCCAGGGGGGTGGGAAGGACTGGGGTTCAGAAGAAGGAGAGAGGCCTGCCTGGGCATCCTCATAGCAGACACATCGCAGATTGAGAGAGACATAGACAACAGAGCCGGAGATACTGGAAGAAGGTTCAGAAAGACGGAAAGATGTGGATGTCAGTGAAGAGTTTAGAGACCGACAGACATACGTCCACAGGTGTCGGGGAAGAGGTGGCTGTGGCTTGGATGGAAGCCCTTGAAAAACCCCCTCCACTGAGATTCTGTTCTCAAGATGCAGAGAGAACTCCACAGAGAGGTGTGGTCTTTGAGCTGCACAGACATCAGAGTCACAGAAGGAAAGATGGAAAGCCATGGAGGGCAGTGGGGAGCTGGGGGTTGAGGTTCCTCCTGCCTTGATCACTGTTCCTCTCTGCTCCTCAGGCCCGAAGCCTCAGGAGAAGAACCCCGTCCAGGACTGAGCCATCATGCCAATCACTCTCACTGTAGTGGCCACAATGGCCAGCCTACTGTATGGTATCAAGAAGGTGAGTGAAGCTGTGGCCTAAATGTGTGGGTCCCCAAGGCCAATGGGGCTGGGACCTGGCATTCCAGGACTCCGAGAAGAACAGGGGCTTCAGGGAGGAGGATGACAGCCTGCCACACTCAGAGAGAGGTGAGGGGGAAAGGAAACCTTGTCTGGGTGGCTGAAACACTGACCAGGCAGGGATGGGGACCTGGGGCCACTGAAAGAGGCTGGGGAGGGCTGGAGGCTGACCAGCCCAGGGAGACACTAAATTTAGCTCTAGGCAGTGAAGAGCTGTCTGCTCTGTGGATCACGTTAACCTGGGTGTTGAATCCTAGCTCTACTATTATAGCTATATGACCTTGTGCAAGTTACTTAACCTCTCTGTGCTCCAGATTTCTCATTAATAATAATAACTAATACTTAAATAGCATGTATTATATGCCAGGGGCTATATGTACATACATACCCATGTGCCTGTGATATAGGTGATATTATTATCCCTCATTTTATAGATGAGATATAGCCCTCATTTGATAACTGAATGCTGGATAAAATGAGAATGATAGCATCCATTTCAAAGGGCTGTTGGAGAATGAAATGAGCTATACACGTAAAGCCCTTAGGTGCTTGGCATTAGTAAGTGCTCAGTAAATTAGTCTTATTGATCATTATTATTGTTTTGCTTGAAAAGGAATGCTGAGAACCTGAGTTGTCAAAAAGAGGCAGCAGTGCATGGGGAGAGTGGAGGGCTGGACAGCAGGTTCCTGGGGCCCTCAGTTAACCCAACCTATCCATCCCTCGTCTCCCAGGCCTGTCAGTTCCAGAAGGAAATGAGTGTGGAGTGTGGTTGTGGCTCTGTGAGCTCTTATAGCTGCCACCAGGAGGACACCAGCCAGTGCTACCATGTCAAATGAAGGGGCAGGACCAGGATAATTGAGTATCCTTCCCCCTTTCTCTCTAAAATAGACTCATTCCCAGTCTCAGCTTCCCATCGAGCTAACTGGGGCAATTTCCTACAGTAGATTCCTGGGGCAACTGGCCCATCCAGGTCTCCTCCACCAACATTGTAAGGGGAAGTCCATGGTCAGTCATCAAGTGGGAGGCTGAGATTCCAGTCCCGGTCCTGCCACCAGCCTGCCATCTGGCACCTAACTTCTCTGATGCAGTTTTCTCACCTGCAGAAGGAAGGACCAGAGCTACATGGTCTCCAGGGGTCTTCCAGCTTTCATGGAATCTAGGTCTGGATGGTTGGAACCTTTGCCCCTCACCCTTTCTTCCCATCCCACCCTCTTCCTCAGAGAAGCTCATTAGCTAAGGACACTTTGGGCCCCCCACGTTCAGGATGAGCAATTCTCCCTTCACAGCTCCTTTCATATGGAGCCCCTTTGGGCTGGCTCCTCGCCCTCCCAAGACCCCCAATTCTCTCACTTTCTCACCAGTTTCTCCTTATAGCCTCCCTCAGGGGTTCTGTGATGCCCCCCTAGACCACTCTGAGTGGATGAAGGACACAATTCTTGCTAAATAAAACACTAGCCCCTCCACTCGTCTCCTAGCCACTGTGTATTTGTCAAAGCACGTGGGCTTTGCCATCGGGCAGGCACTGGCTGAGTCTGGTCTCCTGTTTACCAGGTGTGTGACCTTGAGCAAGTCACTTTCCTGATCTGAGGTTGTTTATTCTCATCCGTAAAAATGAGGCTGACATTGCTAACCTCATAGGCTGTAACAAGGTAAGGTGCTTAACACATTCTTTGGTACACAATAAATGCTCAAACATTAGAAGCTAGTAGGGTTGTTTTGTGACTGGCCCCTCAGCCTCTGGCTCAGACACAACAAACTCTTACTCACACTAAGAAATCAACTTGAGCCTCTACTAACCCCCCAGTTCCTCTAACTCAGATGTATGGATCCTCTGGGGCAAAAAGAGAAGGGAGGATGCTTATTTACCCAACCAGAACAGAGACTACCAATCTCAACACTACCGACATATTGGGCTGGAGAGTTCTTTGCTGGGGGCTGTCCTGTGCATTATGTATTATGTTAAGCAGCATCTCTGGCCTCTATCCACTAGATGCTAGCAGCATCCTCCAAGTTGTGACAAGTTGTGACAAGAATATCTCCAGACTTTGCCAGATGTTCGTTGGGGGAGTAAAACTGTCCTTCTCTGTTGAGAACCACTTTCCTAGAAGCCTGGGTGAGGCTGGGGACTAGTGGAAAAAGGGTTGTCAGTCACTCTGAGTCCAGATGGAGTTGCAGTGGATGCCCTGTTGCTGCCTTAGGTGCCCCGTCTTGCAGGATGCGTTGCTTGGGAGGCAGGCCGCCTAGTTCTGACATCAGTATTTGGCCTGACTCCATGCAGCCTCATCAACCTCCCATTAGTCACATTAATTTGCAGTCAACCTATTCTCCTTTTCTCACTCATTCCAGCCCTGCCTCGGGCTTAGGGACAAGTCACACCAAGTGATGAGAGAAATTCACATGTCCAGTCTGCTGGTCCTCCCACGAGCCCCACTACCCTGAGGCCCTGGCTTCTTGCCCTTTAGATCTTGACCTTCTCCATGCCCTCTGCCTGCTCTGCTGCCTGCAGAAAGGCATGTGGTGGCCCAGGTACCCCCTCCAGACAGCCCAACAGTAAGTGCTTACTGACTGTCTACTGTGTCCCAGGCGCTGTCTCAGGTGATGGGGAAGCAGCAGAGGTCAAGGCAAAGACCTCGCCTGCAGGGTGCTTACTTTCCATGAAAGGAGGCCCACTGTGAGCAGATCAACTGAGTCATAGCGGGGTGGCGACTTGGATGCCTGGACTCATGACTTTCTCTCTCCTTGACCTCGGTAGTTTGTGCCCCATTGCAACTTCAGCCCCAGACACTGTCATTTTGGGAGTCCAGTGAATTAATTTTGACAGGCTTCTGAACTAACGCTTGCTCTAGACAAGGAAACAGGAGAAAGGAAAGATGGAGACACCAGGAGATCCTAAAAATGAGATGTCTGCATTTCTGTATAGGGGTGGATGGGGACTTGAGGCAAAGAGATGGCCACTGGGCTGATATGGGAGAGGAGGGGAGGGGTGGGCTGAAGGCAGAGCCCTTGTATACCAGGCATCTCCACTAAAGAGAAACCTCAGCCTCTGTGTCCTGTCTGAATCCCTGGTGAGGTGTGTGATGTCAGGTCCTGGGCTTCTGCATCTGTCTTGTTGCTTCTCCCTGTCACTGCCCTCACTGTCTCCACATCTTGTTGTGTCATCTCTGAACATCTGGAAGCACCTGTCTCTGCGGTAGTGGCCCATGTGAGGGCTTTCCTCTTCTTTGCTCTTTCACCTGATACTCATGGATGACTCCACCCGGGACAAAAAGAGTGACCATGTGTGAGTTAGGGGTGTGGAAAGCAGGGCTGACGTGAGAGAGGCAGGAAGGCAAATGTGAAGCTGGAGAAGAACCAGAATTTGAATCTCTTCCCATAACCTGAGCACCCAGTCATCCCCCTCTCCGCTCCACCCATCAGAGCTCAGTCCTTCTAGAGTCCAGCCATTTGCTCCCTACCTCCCCAGAGCCCTGGAGGCCACCCCCACCCAGTCCCCACTCCCTCTGCTGGGGCTGGGTCAGGAGTCTGCCTGCTCTATGTTCCTTTTCTCAGATCCCACCCATTCAGCTGACACCCAGGTGCCTGTCTCCATGACACAGCAGCTGCGGTCTCCCGTTATCAGGGCACCGCTGTGGGGTAGGGCGGTTCCATTTGTTTAAGGTTTAGGCCTGAGGGGCCCCAGCCCCCATGACGTCAAAACGGACCCATATAAGCTGAGGGGACCCCAGCCCATGGCCCCAAGCAGCTGTCCGACTCCGACATGGCCCAGCCAGCCCACCGCATCCGCTCTACCTTTGGCTTCCGGGGCTGCATTCTCGTCCTTCTAGCTTCTTGGGAGGCAGGTAAGATGCCCTCAGAGGCAAAGGGGTCACCATAACACAGGGACACAGAAGACTGAGAGGGATTGTTTCTTAGCACTTGTGGGGTTCAATGACCAAGCAAAGAAATGAACAGCAGGTGACTGTACAGTGGGAAGGGGTGTGGGTACAGGGTTGTTGCAAAAATTGCCTAGGGTAGTCACTGCTCAAGTTTGCTGGCTAACGGGCAGGTAGGAGATGAAATCCAGTCTGTGCTTTGCTTCTCAAGACATTGATGCAAGGCTGCATCCTCCCGGAGTGGGGCTTCCTTCGGTTTACACAGAGACACTGTACAGGCTGGTATAGCAGGGGGGACCTGACATTCGCTAAATCTGCTGTGTGCAAGGAGCTCACAGGGGCTCACAATACGTCATCTCATTTTAGCTCCTCAAATCCCCTAAGGTGGTTAACAATATCCCACTTTGTAGTTAGGAGAGTGTGACCCAGAGAGGTAAAGGGACTTGTCCAAAGTCGTGAAGGTAGCAAACAGGGATTCTGACACTCCACATTGCCTGCTTCCCTCCAGAGGCAAGGGGTGCATTTCTCTCCCAAAAACCCTGTTCTAGTAGATCTTGGTTCTACTCTGAAGTGTGGCCCATTTAATTAGTCTGGACGTCCTCACACCTGGCCAAGACCAGTAGATGATGCTTACTGAGCACTTACTATGTGCTAGGCATTGTTGTAGGCACTTCATCCACGTTTACTTATTTAATCCTTATAGCAACTCAATAAGGTATGTGTGGTTTTGTCCCCCTGTGTTACAGCTGGGAAACATCCCAGGGCTTCGGTGAGAAAATATATATGGAAAAGTTTAATAAGCAAAACAGAACCTACAAGTTGAAGTGAAATCACCAAATTAGTTCACTTAGTTAAGAAAGAGTTCTGTGACTGACCCCAGGGAGTAGAGAGGCCAAACACAGGGGCAGTTTGGAGGGGACCTGGGTGATTTGAAGGAGGGTCTTCATAAGGCAGACATACACAAATAGATTCAGAAAGACTCTCTAACGATGGACTCTGAAAAACAAACTGAGGGTTCTAGGGGGGAGGGGGGTGGGGGGATGGGTTAGCCTGGTGATGGGTATTAAAGACGGCACGTTCTGCGTGGAGCACTGGGTGTTATGCACAAGCAATGAATCGTGGAACACTACATCCAAAACTAATGATGTAATGTATGGTGATTAACATAACAATAAAAATTTAAATAAAAAAAAGAAAGACTCTCTATGTACTGGATGGGGTTATTCATGGCAACGATGTTGATGATTGCAAACCAGGGCCCAGAAAGTTGTGAGTCTGGATGCTCCAGATAGTATTTGGGACAGGGAGGGTAGAAGCTTCTCCTTCCAATAGTGCTTGACTGAGGGTGATATTGGAGGAAGTTCTCCTTCCCTGAGCTCACGTCATGTTGGGGCCAGAAGGGATGGGGGCAATGGGACCGAGTGTCTGGTGGATGGTAGAGGCAGGGGCTGAGGAATCTTCAAGCTGCCTCTGCTAGGTCTCAGCAGTGCATTCTGTTTGTGCCCTGACTTGATGTCCTTCCACCTACCTCAAGGGTCTGGGGACAGAGGTACCAGAACCATCCTCAGCCCTCCCAATCTCCAGTCTCTTCTCTCCGCCTTCCTGTCAGGCTGCTATCCCATCTGCTGCTCTCCACCACCTTCTGTTGTGCTGTTGCCCAGGAAGAGGAATCTGTAGGTACAGAGTAGAAGGGCATGAGTCATGAATCAACTCCATACACATTCACTTTTGAGGGAGATTTGCTCTAGGACACAGACAGGTGCAGGGCAGACTTGAGATCCAAATTCTAGAACAGGACACTCTGGGCTCTGTGTGTGTTGTCTGGGGAGATGGCCACTAGAACTTGCCTGGGTGGGATGGAGGCGAGGGCTGAGGGAAGGGCCAGGGCAGTGGACACTCAGATCCTGTAAAGAAGAGCAAGTGGATGATAGGTGGGGAGGGCTTGAGACTGAGATAAAGTTGGGATGGGGTCAGGTTGGAGCTGGACTGTGGGGCCAGCTGGGCACATGACTATGTCCAGCAGGGAGTGAGGCCAGGGTAGAGAGGGAAGAGTGATGACTGGGATGGATAAAGACCTTAGCCCACAGTTCTGGCCCTTCTCCCCCATCATTTATCCACAGGACTAGTCAATACCCAGATTCAGATAACTGGATCTTAGAAACCCAGAGTCTGTGTCATGCAGCCACAGAATCAGAGGTGCAGAAACTAGATGAAATCATCTATGAGGAGAGCACAAGTGGGGCTGAGGTCCTAGAGAGAATCTAAAAAGGATGTTTTCCTATAATAAATGTTATTTGATTTAATTTATATGACAGAAATAATATATGCTCATTATAGAAACTGGAAAATTGAAAAAATGAGAAAGAAAAATAAAATATCTCCTAATACTCCCCAGTTACCCACCCAGGCAACAATTTGAGTATATTTCTCTTTAGTCTTTTTATTCTGAGTTTTAGGTCACATATTGAGCTTATGTTCTATAGACATTTCAAGCATTTACCCATATTATTACAAATGGAGTAAGCCATTTTCTAGGGGCAGGACACCAAGAAACACCAGATATGCTCCTTTGGGTGAGGCTGCTCTGACAGAGACCCTACATCATGAGTCACCTAGCAGGATGTCCACCTTCTTTTCAAATAAGAGAATGAAACAGATTGAACAGACCTTTGGAACTGCACATAGTTTTGATGTTGTGGATTTGTTTTCATTCTTTAATCCAGGCTGAGCATCCACCTCCAATGTCCTGTGTTAAATCCAGATTTTCCTCTCTGCCTATCAGTGACCAAAAAAGTTACTTTCAGGCCATTATTGTAGTCAGTGAAATGAATATCTCATGGTGAAAACTTCCTAGGGAACTAAAACTGCTACCAATGGTAGATTTACTGGGGAGAAGAGATGGTCATCTCATAGCAGGTGGAGGTGGGGGAGGGTGTTAGTCACTGATCTGCTTCATGGCTGAACTCAGAACCAAGGAATTCTTTGAGTTTGACTCCAGATTTTATAATCGATGGTTCCACAATTGTGTGATGTAGATCTGGAATTCTAAGATCTAGTTATCTGAGTCTAGTTATTGATTATGTGGCCCCTGGGGTTAAATGACAGCCAGTATCCCAGAACTGGTATGCTGCAGGACTTCTTTTAACATCTCAGGGTCTTGGGGCACCTGGGTGGCTCAGTTGGTTAAGCGTCTGCCTTTGGCTTCGGTCATGATCTCATGGTCCTGGGATTGAGCCCCACATAGGGCTCCCTGCTCAGTGGGGAGCCTGCTTCTCCCTCTCCCTCTGCTGCTCCCTCTGTTTGTGCTCTCTCTCACTCTCTCTTTCTCTGAAATAAATTAATAAAATAAAATTTAAATTAAAATAAAACATCTCAGGGGCTCAATTATTTCACATGGCAGAAATTACCCTTTGGTTTTCCAACCTTTGGAGGTCACAGTTATGTTTGCTTTTTTACTTAATGTGCATAAGGAAAGGTTGTTGGCTCTGTTTCTCAAGAGTTTTCATCAGTCTTAAAATATTCTGTCAATCACCCCTTCAACAAATATGTATAAAGTGCTTCCTCTAGGCTGGGGACCTAGCAATGAATAAAACAAATAAAAATCCCTGCCATTGTGGGAAATATTCATTATATACTAGAGAATGATGAGTGTCATATTGGTAAAACACAGCAGGGGAAGTGGCCCAGGAATGCAGGCTGCCCTTTGGAAGAGGTGGTCAAGCCCTCAGAGGTATATGGAGTAGGTGGGTCAGGAGACATAGCAGGGGCTGCAGAAGGCCATAGGCTCAGGTTCCGCTTACTACCAGGAGAACAGGGCAAAGTATGAGACTCTTTCAAAGACTACAATTTGGATTTAATAAACTCTGTAAAGAATCTTCTATGCTCAAGCTGGTGCCGTCGACATCATTGTTATTTACAGTCGAGGATATGGAGCTTCTGAACATTTAAGTGACCTAAGCAAGGATGCAAAGCTAGTGAGGGACAAAGCCTGAACTCTGATCCTGTCCTCTGATTCTTTAAGGCCATTGGAATTTGCCACTGTGCCACTGCTGCTCATTTATTTACTCTATGTGTATTTATTCATCCCTTATCACATTTTAAAGCATCTGGGATAGGGATTTCCTGGGTGGCTCAGTCAGCTAAGCATCCAACTCTTGATTTCAGCTCAGGTCATGATCGCAGGGTCGTGAGATTGAGCCCTGTGTCAGGCTCCGTGCTGAGTGTGAAGCCTGCTTCAGATTCTCTCTCTCCCTCTGCTCCCCCCAACTCTCTCTCTCTAAAAAATTAAAAAGTAAAAAAAGTAAAAGCATCTGGGGTGTAGTGAGAAGCCTGACTTTGCCAATTATTTAATCTCTTTGAACTTCCTTTTCTTACCTATAAAATAGTAAGACCATATATTTATCTCACAGGTTTGTGGTGAAGATTAAATAAACAAATGTAGAGACAGCATTCTTTAGGGGTTCCACAAATGCCAGCATTCTTCCTTTCCCAACAGCTGGGCTGACCTATAGTTTGTGTAATGTAGTCTTAACCAGTAGGAGCCTGGGCCTGGGAACCCAGAATGTGTGTTCAAACTCTGGCTCAACTTCTTATTTGGGGAGTGTCCTTGGGGAGGTTACTTAACCTCTCTGAACCTTGTTTTCTCATCTATACAAAGGGGAGAATAGTGAATAGTTCTCAACTTCGAAGGGCTGTTGTGAGAAGTAAATGAGTTAATACAAGTCCTCATTCATAAGACCTGCCTGTCTCATAGTAAGTGTGCAAGAAAGGTTGGCCATGGCTATTGCTGTGGGATGGTGTGCAAGTCACCATTCCTCCAGGGTGAAACTTGAAACTCAAGTTTCTTGGCTATAAGATAGGGAGGCTGAGGGCGCCTGGGTGGCTTAGATGGTTAAGCGTCTGCCTTCGGCTCAGGTCATGATCCCAGGGTCCTGGGATCGAGTCCCGCATCGGGCTCCCTGCTCCTTGGGAGCCTGCTTCTCCCTCTGCCTCTCTCTCTCTCTCTCTCTCTGTCTTTCATGAATAAATAAAAATAAAATCTTAAAAAAAAAAGATAGGGAGGCTGACAGTTTCTAAGGCACATTTTGGGGGAGCTGTGAGATCAGTCACCCTAGAAGAAGATCCAGAAAGAGAATGTCTATGAGGCAACCACCTGAGCTCTTGGCCCAGAGAATGTGGCCAATGAACAGCAGCTATCATTGGGATTGCTGCTGAGGGAATCAAAGAATGGAACTAACATAGTGGAGTGAGGGCCTGAAAATTCAGCCCTCGTTTCTCTCTCTAATCTCAAATCCCTTCAGAGACTTGGGCTTCTCTAGTACCCTCACCCTCTTCTTTTCCCACCCATATTTCTTTCAAGGAGTTCCCCAGCCCCTTACTCTCATTGGCAGCAGGGAGGTGGGTGGATTGTGGTTTTCTATGATTGGGAATGGGTCCAGGTTCTGGTTGCCGCCTTGAGCTAACAGAGACTGGAAATCTCAGTTATGTAACAACACTATCTCTCTCACTCTTTGGCGATCTCCTGGCTAGGTATCAGAGACATCTCCTCTGTCCCCACTGGTTGTTTTTCCATGTAATTAAGGTCCATATATGTTCACTGATAGAGGTTTTTTTCTCTCACACCCTGTTCTTAAACATGGTCAGTCCTTCCAGAATTCAGCTGCCTCATTCACTCCTTTCAGGACCCCCAACCAGATATCTTTTCCTTTCAGGAGGGTGACCTTCATCTATCCCAGATGGCTATAGGTGTGTGAAGGGGTGGGGGAGTCATTGGGGAACCATAAGGATTGAGTCATCTCATCTATTTCTCTGCATCCAGACCAAACTTTAACACCAAAATGGAAGTTTCCCATCTCCCTTCTCTATCCACCCTCCTTTCCTCTTCTGAGCTTTCTTTCATTCATCATCTGTGTCTACTTGTTAATCCCTCTGGGAAGTTCTGCCAGAAATCTTACCTCAGTCTCTCACACAGTTACATTTGGGATGGAGCTGGAATGTTATGGGAAGATGGAGATTCTGGTATTTGTTCCCTTTCCTCTCAGCTCCGTCATGGAAAGGGAACTTCATTCCATAAGTATACAAACTAAAGGAGCATTTGTGGGGCAAAATGCAAGTCAATATCTGATCTCAAAATCTTATGATTTGATAGGCATGGCAGGAGGTAGAGGTTGACAGGCACACAAATAACCGTAATGTCCAGTTGAAGGGTATTAACAAATAATTTTTTGAGCACTGAGATGAAGCTAGATCTTATCTGCTTGGAAGGATCTGGAAAGATGCCATAAAGCCAGAAAGGTCTGAAACTGAGAACTGAAGAGTAAAGGTGGAAAAGAGGTGAGGTGGCTACTTGCTGAAGCCACAGCCTGAACAAAGGTCCAGAGACTAGAGGAGAAAGTGGGGGGTTATATATCATAGTATTCTGAGGATACTGGCTGAGGAGATATATCTAGGGTAATAAAGGGATCCCTAGAGACAGAAGTGGACAGAGAAGCAAGGAAGAACATAATGGAAATTTCTTATTTGCTTTTCTTCCTTCACAGGTGCTATCACATCTCAAGGACTTCAGAAAACTGATGATTCCCAGACATCTGATCATTTGTTCCCTCCTCCTATTGCTCTCCATTCAGACCAGAGCCCTCTAGACCTCAGTAAATCTACAGAACATAAGCTAAAACACCATTGCAACACTACACACCATTTCAAGCCAACTTACAATCCTATAGATAATTCCCAAAACTCTGCAAGTCATCAGGAAGTTCCTCCTACTTCTGAGAAAAACCCCAGCAAACAAGAAAAAGACCCAGATGTCCAGAATGAACACTCTGTTGATCCTACTGACTCTAATAACACACATAAAGGACCGTCTGGTGCAAAACATCTAAGCACAGCACTCAAGAACAAAACAGCTTGCACTAAGAACAACAAAAACAAAATAGGTTCAGGAAACCAACATAAAACTGTAACACCTTCAGGAAACATCAACACACGTGCTCACTTTGGCAGCACATACACTAAAATAGGAAACATCAACACTACTTTAGACAGTAAAAGCTTTACTTCACACAAGACCATACATCCTGTCCACAATACAGTCAGTCTAGAAACCAATAAAATATCTAAATCCTCCACAGGCAAAAGCGTAACAGCCACAAATGTATCATATGAGGCTTCAAGAACCCCAGAAAGGTCAAAAAGAACTGAAGATCATAAAACAGTTACTAGTCCCAGAATTACAGTTGCCTCAGACAAGACTGTGATGAAGACTATAGAACACATAAACAGGACGACATCAGCCATTGAAAAGACCACAAAAATGCCAGACACACCTGGAGTATACACATATGAGACCACATCAGCTCATATAAATATCACAAGATCACTAGTAAACCCAGTGGAAAATGGAAAAGAGACCACATTCTCTCAAAAGAAGAACCCAGGAGTTCCAGCAGAGCCTACAAAACATGGAGAAGAGACTAAATCAACCAATGAGAAGACCACAAGAACCCAAGAAAAGTGCAAGAAACATGGACAGAAGAGGACTCCCTCCAGTAGGAAGACCACAAGAGCCTCAGAAGAGTCCAAGGACCATGGGGGGAAGACCACAGGAGCCCTAGAAGGGTCTAAGGACCATGGGGAGAAGACCACAGGAGCCCTAGAAGGGTCCAAGGACCATGGGGAGAAGACCACCCTAGCCAATGGGAAGACCACCAGAGCCCCAGAAGGGTCCAAGGACCATGGGGAGAAGACCACCCTAGCCAATGGGAAGACCATCAGAGCCTCAGAAGGGCCCAAGGACCATGGGGAGAAGACCACCCTAGCCAATGGGAAGACCACCAGAGCCCCAGAAGGGTCTAAGGACCATGGGGGGAAGACAACAGGAGCCCTAGAAGGGTCCAAGGACCATGGAGAGAAGACCACCCTAGCCAGTGGGAAGACCACCAGAGCCCCAGAGGGGTCCAAGGACCATGGGGGGAAGACTACAGGAGCCCTAGAAGGGTCTAAGGACCATGGGGGGAAGACCACAGGAGCCCTAGAAGGGTCCAAGGACCATGGGGCGAAGACAACCCTAGCCAATGGGAAGACCACCAGAGCCCCAGAAGGGTCCAAGGACCATGGGGAGAAGACCACCGTAGCCAATGGGAAGACCACCAGAGCCCCAGAAGGGTCCAAGGACCATGGGGAGAAGACCACCCTAGCCAATGGGAAGACCATCAGAGCCTCAGAAGGGTCCAAGGACCATGGGGAGAAGACCACCCTAGCCAGTGGGAAGACCACCAGAGCCCCAGAGGGGTCCAAGGACCATGGGGGGAAGACCACAGGAGCCCTAGAAGGGTCCAAGGACCATGGGGAGAAGACCACCCTAGCCAATGGGATGACCACCAAAGCCCCAGAAGGGTCCAAGGACCATGGGGAGAAGACCACCGTAGCCAATGGGAAGACCCCCAGAGCCCCAGAAGGGTCCAGGGTCCATGGGGGGAAGACCACCCTAGTCAATGGGAAGACCACGAGAGCCCCAGAAGTGTCCAAGGACCATGGGGGGAAGACCACCTCGGCCATTGGTCCTTTTACTCTCACCACATCTCACATGGAGCTGAGTTCCACCACATCAGAGACCCCAGGCAACAAAAGCCATTCATATCAGAACAAAGATGGCTCACAGAGAGGTCTTCGTGCTGGAGGAATGAGAGAGAATGATTCATTCCCTGCATGGGCCATAGTTATTGTGGTCCTGGTGGCTGTGATTCTCTTCCTGATGTTCCTTGGCCTTATCATTTTGGTAAGGGAGAGGGATGCTACAGGGGAGCAAACCCATGAGATAGGGAGTTGACAAGAGATTATGGATCTGAACCAGAGGGAGTAATTAGCTCAGAAAAAGAGGCATGGTAGTGGAGGGATGGTGGTAATAGAGGGGTAATGGTGGTGAAAACTATGGGGCAAGACAATGATGCATGGGGCATGAACAATGGCATTGGAGAGAAGTCTCTGGCTGAGAAAAAAGGGTGAAGAATAGGGGAAAATTGGGGTTGGAGAAAGAATCTGGGATGTGAGAATAGGGTATATTAGGATAGGGAAAATTGGACAGAGGAGAAGGAAGCAGGAAGGGAGGAATTGGAGATGAAGTCTGGGACTTAGTGCATGGGATCTGGGGCTGGAATAAGGATCAAGGTTTGGATGGAATCTTGGGAAAGGAGGAAGCTAAAGGTCTAGGGTCAGGAAGAATAGAATCAAAGGATTATGGGTGTTGAGGAAAGTAAATGACATAGCAGATGAAACCCATTCCTCCTTTCTCCTAATCACAGGTCTCCTATATGATGAAAACACGCCATGCACTGATCCAGAACAAGAAGGACAATGACCCAGAGAATGATGGGGGTCCTAACTCCTACCCAGTCTACCTGATGGAGCAGCAGACTCTTGGCATGGGCCAGATCGCTTCCCCACGGTGATCCTTTAGAAAGTGCCCTGCTCTTCCATGCCCTTCCTAAGATGAGGAATTAGACTCACAATTCATATTTCCTGGACTCCAGGAAGGGCAAAGTACTGACAGTTAACAGCATTAACCCTTCATCAGCTGTGTTCTTATTGAAATTGATCTAAGGATGAGATGATAAGCAAGAAGGATGTGACTCTGGGAGATATAAAAGAAAGAATGAATAATATGAGCATGTGTTCTCTGTAGAAGCTGATGGTCTCAGAATGAAAAGATGTTTGACGGCCATACGGAGTGGGCACCAATACTGGACACTGAGTCTTGGGAAGGGCAGCCTGGCTAAGGGAAGTTTGGGGGCCTTAGAAGGCAATGCCCCACATCTGACTGTAAGTTGGGTTTCAGGACCCATCTATAATATTTCTATCTATTACTTAGACTTTGTGTGTAAGCAGGCTTGTCTTTGAGTTCCCAGGACACTTGTCCTCCCCCTTTTTAAAATGGAAAAGTAGAAATGAAAAAAATAAAAAAATAAAATGGAAAAGTAGGATCTGAGAAGAAAAGAGGACTTATTTCCTTCACTGTCTCTACACCTGGGAGGAAGGAAAATTCCAGAAAAGATGATAAATATCTCTCATCTAGATGGTTCTTCCCTCATCCTTCTGAATCCTTTCATTTTTCTAAATGTCTATAGTAGGCATCCTGCTGGTTTGGCTTGCCGGGTTGTGGGTGGCATGCAGGGAGGGATTTTTGTTTGGCCTGCAGTGTTACCCATTCATCCCAGGGCAGCGGGGACTCCGGGTTCCCTGGGTCCCTGAGTATGCGGCCCTCCCTTCTTCCCTCTAGGCTCCACTTGGCTCGAGGTTCCTGGATCTTGCTCCGTAACAGAGCGGATCAGTGGTTCACAGATGGCACCCCTTTCCCCCCCCCACCCCGGGGCGCCCCTTTTGCCGCCGCGGACGACACGCGGCCACCAGCCGAACCGTGAGCCCGGCACAGCCCCCGGCTGTCACGGGGTGCAGTGCCCAGCCCCGGCTTCCTGCGCCCAGCGCTTCCTTCCACCCGCGCATCGCACTGTCGGTCAGAAAACGAGTCTGCGCGGTGCTTGCTTTCAGTGCATCACGTACTTCCATCCTCTGACAACTCTGCGGGTTCTTTCTTAGTACACTTGTTTGACAGACGGCAAAACTGAGACTCAGAGAAGTGCCCGTTCAAACCCACACAGCTCCTGGGAACAGAGATTTTCTCCCACTCGAACGTCACTTCGTTCCTTAGCGTAACTTGGCAGCATGACCTGGATGGGTGGGACGTTCTGGGGACCACCTAAGGCACAGAGCGTTATCGAGGTTTGGCAAGAAAGCATCCAGCTCCTTCTCCCACAGTCCAGGTCTCCCGTCCAGTTTCTTGGACTTCCCAGAGCTTTGTTCTTCTGGCCCCACAGGGCCGGGCTCTATCCTGACAGCCTCTGTGGGCTTCTGAGACTCATTCTCTGGCCTCAGGGTCACAGTGCCCCAACCTCCCCCCGCCCCAGCGCGCAGCCCCCCACAGCAGACTGCCAGCACACCTGCTCCTGGACAGTGACTGTCGGCAGGGTAAGAAGATTCAACGATTTGGGACCCAGTCACCCTCATTTTCTCCCTGCTGCCTCCTACAAAGTCCCCTGCTCCAGAATGAGACATCCCCAGAGAAAACAGGTTTTTGCTGACTTCTGGCCCTAAGGGTGGGTCTCCTTTCCTCTGACAGGTTTGATCCCCTTGCTCTCTCCCCTTCCCTGTGCCAGAGATGCCCCTCCCTCGAGAGGGAGAGCCCAGAAGTTGTGGTTCCCCCACACCGCCCTGCCCAGCAGCACCTAGAAAGCCCATAGCAATAGCCAAGGGAGACAGGAAAGTGAGCCGGGCATATTGTGCAGCAAGTGTTGGAACCCGAGTCCAGCCGTCCCAGTCCCTGGCTCCCTACTACCATGGAACTTACCCCAACTGATCTTACTCCTCCCACAACCCTGGCCCTAGCAAGCTTTTGAAACTTCATGACCCAGTGAGACTCCAGGCATCAACTTGACCCCTGCAGTCCACCTCTGCTATAGAACCCAGGCATTCTAGATAAAACTTCCAATGTCGATTATTTCAAGATGAGGAGAGGAAAATCATCGCCTGCCTCTTGCATCCTGATGTGGCTTCTCTTTGGAATCTTGGGACTTGGTAAATGAATTATCCATCAATCACAGATGACACGGAGGCCACAAAAAGTCGGGAGGAGACAAGGGTCTCTGTCCCAGACACTACTTGCATATTCTCATTCTTTTTCTGGAAGCAAAGATGATAAACTTCTTTTTGCCCATTTCTGTGAAAGTCAGTACGGACCCTAGCCCTCACTGACCATGATTGTGGCCCTCACCTTCACCTTCACTTTGCAGCAAATCCACCCTTCTCCTGCCCCTCCGACCTTTAGCTACAAGCAGGAACACGAATAGAGCTTTATTTTGATTTTCCCTTGGATTCCTGGAGTGTAATAGCTGCTTGATAAATGTTCTGTATCTAACTTGAAAATCCTAGTTTCTATATCATCCTTAATTCTTTATTAGAGCTAGGCTCCAAGTCTAAGTAAAGCCAAGGGAAATGAAAATATTCTTTCCAGAAATGCTGCCTAAATGTAAGTCCTTGGTCAGCTCTCAGAATTCCTGAATAGAGACACATGTGGAGGGACTGCAGAGACCCCAGGGCAGTGGAAATTAGCAGATGAAATTAGCCAGAGGAGAAGTAAAGTCTGGGCTCTCATGTTCCTAGCCAGTTCACCTGACTTCTCTCTTAGACTCCTCTAGAATTCCAAGTTTCTCTTTTTAATTATTAAAATTAATGCCAAATAACTTATAAAGGCTCTTCATTTCCACTGTAGGATGGAATGCCTAAAAAAGGGAGTAGGCAGGGTAAGTGTGGAGTCGATAGAAACAGGCCTGGGTCTTTAAAATAAAGAAGAAAAAAAAAGGAGCACCTAGGTGGCTTAGTCGTTTAATTGCCTGCCTTCGGCTCAGGTCATGATCCCCAGGGTCCTGGGATCGAGCCCCATGTCGGGCTCCCTGCTTAAGCAGACAGTCTGCTTCTCCCTCTCCCTCTGCTCCTCCCCCCTGCTTGTGCTTAGCTCTCACTCTCTCTCAAATAAATAAATAAAAAAAAAATCAGAAAGAGGCCTGGGTTTATTTTTGTGTACGGTGTAAGGAAATGGTCCAGTTTCATTCTTCTGCACGTGGCTGTCCAATATTCCCAACACCATTTGTGGAAGAGACTCTTTTTTCCATGGGATAATCTTTCCTGCTTTGTCAAAGATTAGTTGACCATAGAGTAAGGTCCATTTCTGGGCTCTCTATTCTGTTCCATTGATCTATGTGTCTGTTTCTGGACCATTTCTTTACACCATACATAAAAATAGACTCAAAATGGAGGAAAGACCCAAATGTAAGACAGGAGTCCATCAAAATCCTAGAGGAGGGGCACCTGGGTGGCTCAGATGGTTAAGCGTCTGCCTTCGGCTCAGGTCATGATCCCAGGGTCCTGGGATCGAGTCCCGCATCGGGTTCCCTGCTAGGCGGGGAGCCTGCTTCTCCCTCTGCTTCTCTCTCTCTCTCTCTCCCTCTCTCTCTCTCCTCCTCTCTCATGAATAAATAAATAAAATCTTTAAAAAAAAAATCCTAGAGGAGAACACAGGCAGCAACCTCTGTGACCTCGGGCACAGCAACTTCTTCTTAGACAAGTCTCCAAAGGCAAGGGAAACAAAAGCAAAAATGAACTATTGGGACTTCATCAAGATAAAAAGCTTCTGCACAGCAAAGGAAACGGTTGACGAAACCAAAAGACAACTGACACAATGGGAGAAGATATTTGCAAATGACATATCAGATAAAGGGCTAGTATCCAAGATCTATAAAGAACTTACCAAACTCAACACCCAAAGAACAAATAATCCAGTCAAGAAATGGGCAGAAGACATGAACAGACATTTCTCCAAAGAAGACATCCAAATGGCCAACAGACACATGAAAAAATGCTCAACATCACTCAGCATCAGGGAAATACAAATCAAAACCACAATGAGATACCACCTCACACCAGTCAGAATGGCTAAAATTAACAAGTCAGGAAATGACAGATGTTGGCGAGGATGCGGAGAAAGGGGAACCCTCCTACACTGTTGGTGGGAATGCAAGCTGGTGCAGCCACTCTGGAAAACAGTATGGAGGTTCCTCAAAAAGTTGAAAATAGAGCTACCCTATGACCCAGCAATTGCACTACTGGGTATTTACCCAAAGATACAAATGTAATGATCCGAAGGGGCACCTGAACCTCAAAAGAATGAAATCTTGCCATTTGCAGCAACATGGAAAGAGCCCTGATGTCCATTGACAGATGAATGGATAAAGCACACACACACACACACACACACACACACACACAATGGAATACTCAGCCATCAAAAAAATGATATCTTGCCATTTGCAATGACGTGGGTGGAATTAGAGGGTATTATGCTAAGCAAAATAAGTCAATCAGAGAAAGGCAATCAGTGAAATATGATCTCACTCATGTGGAATTTAAGAAACATAATAGAGGATCATAGAGGAAGAGAGGGAAAAAATAAAACAAGACAAAATCAGAGAGGGAGACAAACCAAAGAGACTCTTAATCATAGGAAACAAACTGAGGGTTGCTGGAGGGGAGGGGGGTGGGGGGATGGGGTAACTGGGTGATGGACATTAAGGAGGGCACGCGATATAATGAGCATTATATATAATACGGTATTATATAAGACTGACGAATCACTGACTTCTACCTCAGAAACTAATAAACTAATAATACATTATATGTTAATTAATTGAATTTAAACAAAAAAATTAACATTAAAAAAAAAGAAACAGGCCTGGGTTGAATGACCAAAAGGGCATTTGGTGGTGTTTTTTCTTCTTCCTTTGATATTTGTTTCTTGTGCCCTCCCTCTGGTCCCTCCCAATGATTCTCTCCTGGAGACTGT